CTGTTCCCAAAGCTACAGTCCTAAAGGTCCTGACCCTAGAGTTCCTGACCCTAGAGTTCCTGTTCCCAAAGCTACAGTCCTAAAGTTCCTGACCCTAAAGGTCCTGACCCTAGAGTTCCTGACCCTAGAGTTCCTGACCCTAAACCCCTAATCAAACTCTGGTTTTAGTTTGCTCAAACTTACTCAACGAGGTGCGGTTCTGGTTTTCCTGCCAGCAGCAGATTAATTGCTCCAGGACAGACCGGGCCAGCATCTGTAATGTAATCGGACCCTGTTGGTGGAACGCTGCTCAGAACCTCTCAGAACCGCCTCAGCAGAGGAGGAGACGGAGCTGCTGAACAGACCGGTCCACCCTAAGGAAAGTGTTCTGACTGTCGCTCTGCTGCCGAACCATCATTTATTCTGCTCAGCTCTAACCAGACTTCGGCGCCGCTCGGCCCACATGCATTAAACATTCTCCCTGAGCCCGTTCTGCACGGTTCTGCTTACTCCACGGGTTTTATTTCAGTCGCTGAATCTCAATCAGGTCAGCATCGTCCTGCAGGAGACGCAGCAGAACTTCGGAGCGGGTCTGCTTTGTGCCAACGACCACTTTGAACCAAAACAGCTGTGGACCAGAACAAAGTCCGTTCAGTCCGAATCTCTCCTGCAAGAAAAAAAAAAATCTTTTAAAAAGGTTTTTCATTTTGGGACTTTTGATTTCTTTGATGTTTTGCTTTTAGAAGTTTCCGTCAGTTCCCTGAAGGGTCAGAGTCCAGTCTGAACTAAACATCTCGGGCTCTGACTGTAGTCTGTTGTGATTGGTTGATTCAGTGGGCGGGTCTTAAGAGGGCTGACCAATGGCGTGACGTTGAGGAACAAACAGCATCGTATAGGTAGAACTGGGGAGAACATAGAACAACAGATAGAATGTGGCCTGTAGGCGACCATAAGCCTCCTCCATCTTCAATCGCTCGCCCCTGGTCATGGTACTCCATGGCCCGGTTGTGGTTCTGGTCTCAGTGATGGTGTGTTTGTGTGCGTCCTCAGAGGCAGAACTTCGGGCGAAGTGGGAACAGGCTCTGGGACCTCAGTATCAAGTCCTGGTGAGTCTAAACTCAGAACTCCTCCTGGTTCCAGTGCTGAACACGGATTGGACCCGATGTGTCTGTCTGGGTTCTGTTGGACCTGATGTGTCTGTTTGGGTT